AAAAAAAAGAAATGTAGCAGAGAAGCCCGTTTGCCCCTCTCAGTGAGACCGAGTCGGCCTCTTTTCAGCTCTGTGACGTCTCCTTTAATCTGATGCTGCCTGTTACATGAGCGATGAAGCATCTCAGCAGGTAAATCCCCCCAAACTGGAGTGAGCTGTTTCACAAAGAACACAAAAAAGGGAGAAATATAGACATTTTATTACGCTGTGAAGTATTGTTATACTGTAAAACTATCAGCTTTCAGGCACTGAGTTTGTACAAAAACAATAATTAATGAAAACATATGTGTCAGAGTCAGGTTTAATGTAACAATAGAAATCCAGGAAGTATCACTCAAGCTTCAAAGAAAGAAGACTCATTGAGGGCTCTGTTTATATTTTTTCATCACTAAGAAACTCACTGTGTGAGTCTTGGTCTGTGAGAGGAAGTGAGACAGTTACCTAATAAGAAACGGTTGAGGGAAGCAGCTCGTCGTCTCTGTCTTCACCACATCCTGAAGGTTCAGCAAATTTGTCAGCAGAGTGCCACTCCCACATTTGTCGATCTTTGTCACCACCATCTGAACAATGAAGTACAACCCTCAGAAAAGCGCACAGACAGGATGTCCCTGTGGCTCCCCCAAAAAGCCTTCAGTAAATCCAAAACTGCAAGAAGAATACTAACGGGGGTAAGAGTTGTGAATAATCCGGCTCCATGATATTCTAAATACTTTATTGTGCCATATTATTCCACTTATCTCAGTCTGTCGGCCTACTTGACTTACATAGTTTCTAAAACTAGAATGGGAGACAAGGCCCTCTGCTGTGGAACCAGCTCCCAGTTTGGATTCAGGACACAGAAACACTCTCTAATTTCTCTTCTTTTAAGATTAGGCTTCAAACTTTTCTTTGTGATCAAGGTTATAAATAAGTTATGAATCAGATGATCCTGATCCACTGATAACTTTAAGCTAGTGCAGAAGTGTTAGCACTGTCACCTGTCAACCAGAGGATCCTGGGTTAAAATCCAGGTTGTGGTCTCTGAGTGAAGTCTGACCAATGTCCCTGTGTTTTTTTCTTTGGATGTAGACACCCTCACACAGGCCAAATGCATGCACGTTAGGTTAACAGGCACTTTTAAAGTGGCAAATGAAAGTGCTTGGAATGGCACGAAAGCACGGTTAGAATAGTTTTTTATTCTAAACTGTATTGAGTGCCCAGTAAGACTGGAAAAGCACTATATAAATACTGGTACCTTACATGGACCCTCCCTTAGCTAGGATCTCTTTCACTTTATGCTTCCTTCTACCATCTTGAACTAACACAGCAGATTAGCTCTGACACCTGGTGGCCTCTTAAAAACACTGCACTCCCTGATCAGCATTTTAAAGGATTCACTTTGTTGTTGTTCTCCTGCAGTTCAAAGAAATGAACGAG